CCCCCCCCCTCATTAAGCCCCGCCCCTTCGTTAATGAGCGCGGGGGAAGGGGGGGGGGTGAAGGGCAGCTGGTTGTCCTTCCCAGTGCGGACCAGTAAGGACCAGTAAGGACCAGTGATCCCTCGGTGATCCCAGTAACCGCCCAGTGATGAGCAGGGCTCCCAGTAAAGACCAGTGCTCCCAGTAACCATCCCCCAGTGCTCCCAGTAACCATCCCCCAGTGATGACCAGTGATCCCCCAGTGCTCCCAGTAACCTCCCAGTAACGACCAGTGCTCCCAGTAAAGACCAGTGCTCCCAGTAACCATCCCCCAGTGCTCCCAGTTGCCTCCCAGTGACGACCAGTGCTCCCAGTAACCATCCCCTGGTGCGCCCAGTAACAACCAGTGCGCCCAGTAACCTCCCAGTGACGACCAGTGCTCCCAGTAGCCTCCCAGTGCTCCCAGTAACCTCCCACTGCTCCCAGTAACCTTCCAGTGACGACCAGTGCTCCCAGTAGCCTCCCAGTGCTCCCAGTAACCTCCCACTGCTCCCAGTAACCTTCCAGTGACGACCAGTGCTCCCAGTAAAGCCCCAGTGCTCCCTGTAACTACCCCCCAGCACTCCCAGTAACCGCCCAGTGCTGCCCAGTAACCTCCCAGTAGCCACCCAGTGACGACCAGTAACCTCCCAGAGCTCCCAGTAATCCCCCAGGGAAGCCCAGTGATGACCAGTGCTCCCAGTAGCCTCCCAGTGCTCCCAATAACCTCCCACTGCTCCCAGTAACCATCCCCCAGTGCTCCCAGTAACCTTCCGGTGACGACCAGTGCTCCCAGTAGCCTCCCAGTGCTCCCAGTAACCATCCTCCAGTGCTCCCAGTAGCCTCCCAGTGTTTCCAGTAATCCCCCAGTGCTCCCTGTAACTACCCCCCGGTGTTCCCAGTAACCTCCCAGTGCTCCCAGTAACCTTCCACTGGTCCCAGTAACTTCCCAGTGCTCCCAGTAACTTCCCAGTAACAGCCCGGTGCTGCCCAGTGCTCACAATAACCACCTCCCAGCAGCCTCCCAGTGACGACCAGTGCTCCCAGTGATGACCAGTAATCCCCCAGTCCTCCCAGTAACCATCCCCAAGCACTCCCAGTAACCTCCCAGTGCTCCCAGTAATCCCCCAGTCCTCCCAGTAACCTTCCCCAAGCACTCCCAGTAACCTCCCAGAGCTCCCAGTAACCTCCCAGAGCTCCCAGTAACCTCCCAGAGCTCCCAGTAACCTCCCAGAGCTCCCAGTAACCTCCCAGTGATGACCATTGCTCCCAGTAGCCTCCCAGTGACCACCAGTAATCCTCCAGTCCTCCCAGTAACCATCCCCCAGCACTCCCAGTGATGACCATTGCTCCCAGTAGCCTCCCAGTGCTCCCAGTAATCCCCCAGTGCTCCCAGTAACATCCCAGTGATGACCAGTGCTCCCAGTAGCCCCCCAGTGCTCCCAGTAATCCCCCAGTGCTCCCAGTAACCTCCCACTGATACCCAGTGCTCCCAGTAACCTCCCAGTACTCCCAGTAACCTCCCAGTGATGACCAGTGCTCCCAGTAACCTCCCAGTACTCCCAGTAACCTCCCAGTGATGACCAGTGCTCCCAGTAACCTCCCAGTGATACCCAGTGCTCCCAGTAACCTCCCAGTACTCCCAGTAACCTCCCAGTGACGACCAGTGGTCCCAGTAACCTCCCAGTGCTCTCAGTAACTACCCCCCAGTGCTCCCAGTAACCCCCCAGTGCTCCCAGTAACTACCCTCCAGTCCTCCCAGTAACCTCCCACTGCTCCCAGTAACCTCCCAGTAACAGCCCAGTGCTGCCCAGTGCTCCCAATAACCACCCCCCAGCGCTCCCAGTAGCCTCCCAGTGCTCCCAGTAATCCCCCAGTGCTCCCAGTAACCATCCCCCAGTGCTCCCAGTAACATCCCAGTGATGACCAGTGCTCCCAGTAGCCTCCCAGTGCTCCCAGTAATCCCCCAGTGCTCCCAGTAACCTCCCAGTGATGACCAGTGCTCCCAGTAATCCCCCAGTGATCCCCATTCTCCCTCTAACTACCCCCCAGTGCTCCCAGTAACCTCCCAGTTACTACCCCCCAGTGCTCCCAGTAACATCCCAGTG